ACACGGGCAGCCCGTGCGTTGGCCAATTTTTTTTTAATGTGTAGATTAACCAAATTAACAGGGTTACGCTGAACTGAGAACACAGTTTGTAGCTGGCAACTTTTCCGCTGATTGCGTTCCTACAGCATTATGCATCCCAGTTAATATATCAGCCCCCAGCATGCCGTTGGCCATCGTAGGCTCTAACTCCCTTTATAAACCACCCTTGCCTTTCCTCGGAACCTCACTTCTCTCGGACCGGATTGAACTTCAACAGTATTGGACATCACCTCTTCAGCTACATCTCCCGCCTGCCCAACCTACAGACTCAGACCTCTTCGCCTCGGAGCCAATAATATTCGATCCTTTGACACATCGTGGGTACCATTCACCTGTTTGTTTTCGTCCATTTGTTACCTGCCATCTTTGTTACAGGACCAGTTCAGCTCGTGTTCCTAACCTACATCCTCTCTGTTATTACCTTTTATACCAGATTTTATTTCGAGCAGTTTCTTTCATTTCGCTTTGTTATGTGTTTGCAGCCTACTTATAATTAAAGTTCGCCTCTCCATTAACCCTGATTATCATTCATAGCTGAGGTCTAGCCATACCAGAATAAAAGCAATAAAAAATGTGGAATAAATGAAGCTTGCTAGGATCTAATTAAGTGAAATTGTTGATGAGGGAATGACCAAAAATTGTACGTGTGTATGTGAGATATTGAATAGGAGGGGTGGGAAATGGGTTATGCAGCTAAATTTTGGAGATCTGAAGAGGGTGGAGGTGATGATTAATCCATGACTGTAGTGACTAATAGTGAAAATTAAAAGGATACAAGAGGGGAAGTGAGTGGAGGAAGGAAAACAAAAACAAAGTTGTACAGGTGCATATTTTGTGAGAAAGATATCGACATACCTTATGAACGCAAAAGAGGCATGAAGATTTTTTACAGCAAAAGAAGGAGGTTTTTTACAGCAAAAGCTGATTTTAATTCAAAAAAATGAGTTATAGGGATTCATCTGGCGAGTGGATGGGTTTTAATTTTCATCTCTTTCCAGAGAAGGAAATGATAAAGGGAAGCAGTGGAGGAAGAAAGTTGAGAAATGTAACGGGGGAAGGAAAGTGAGGGATAATTTACATGTCTGTGAGTAGGAAAATGATCCTTATTTTTGCAGTAAAATTTCAATATTTTTATTCATTCTGTTCTACATTGCCAAAAATTCATAACTCTCTTTATTCTTACTTTTTTTTGGGACAAAGTCACCTGAATTAGCCCGAATGATAGTAAATGCCGACAGCAATCACTCGCTTGCAAGGCTTTCATTGGTTCCCCCTCTCCAGTAGTTGCTTAAAAGCAAGCTGGTGACCACACTGAAATATAAAACTGTGCTTTTTTTAGGATATAATATTGTTCTGGCATCATATGCGAGCAATTGTTCAGAGCACGCCATTATCATTCCGAATGGATGCATCGGTGAGTTTTGATGTGTCGGTACTCACTTTTTTTCAAGTATTGGAAACATTTTGGCCCTCTTCCCTCTTCTTTATCTTCATTGAAACGTCTTACCAAGAATAGCAAGACGTCCGATCAGCGGATGTGGGAACATAGGTGGGACCAGGACGGACTTCTAAGGGAAAAGAGGGTGAGGGGAGGGGGAGGAAATGAAAAATTTTTCGTACATTTATTATAGATTTAAACGTTTACAGCAAATAACGATTTCCCCTTGATGCATTTGATATCTAACAATTTTTTCCAACTTGGTTATCGTGATTTCTTTCGAAACTTCAAAACGATGTTCTTAATTTTCTGGATTTTAAAAGGGGGCACCTGACAATGGGCTTTAGACTGTTCTCTTTTTAATTGGAGATTGCATTTTTTTTCAGCAAGAAGATGCGCATCTGTACAAGAAATACACGATTGGTGTTTTTGATCGTTCACAGATAATCAAACAGTACAATGACCACTCAGCAGACGTATCACCAAATTTACCTCACAATGGTTGTGCTGGCTTCGAATCCTCATTTTTCATGTAAGATCTGGTTTTTTTTTTCTTTCTAATCTGAATTATTGCATGAGAATTTTACTTTTTAGTAAGGCGACGGCGT